GCCAGTGGCATGCGCTTTCAGGATAACCGTGTTCCTCTCCCCTCTCTTTGTGCTTGCCTGGAGCAGGGGTGCCCGGCCACGGGGCAGCAGGCAGCAGCAGGTATTGGCTTGTTCGGGGGCCCCCCTGGGGGGGGGAGGGGGGAGCCGGCCCGGTCACCATCCCGCCGACCCCCGGGTCCAACTGCCTCCCTGCCCAGAGGCGCTCCTTTCTCTGCGCCTGCTCCTGTCCCAGCTGGCGTTTTAGCCAAAGGGCCCTTTGACTGGGCGGCTCCACAGGGCAGCTCGGTGCTGCCGACTCTTCCTCACCCCCACCAGGTGTGGGGGTGCTTCCCAGCAACCCTGTGCCCTGATCCCCGCCCGTCTCACCTGCAGTTGTTGTCACCCTGGAGCCGTGCGAGGGGGCTGAGACCTACGTCAACGGGAAGCAGGTGACGGAGCCCCAGGTCCTGCGATCAGGTAGTGCTGGGGGGCACAGTGGGTGTCATGCCCGGGAGCAGCTCGGGCGGATGCACCAGGCGAAAGGAGGCGGCAGTGCCCGCAGCCTCAGCGCTGCACTGCTTGCTTTGAGTTTGCTGAGCATGGCTGGGTTGTGCTGGGTCCAGAACCCATCGAGGTGTCCCCCCTTGAAGCGTCCTGCCTCCTCGCTGCTCGGCAGTCCTTTCCGAGGGCAGCCAGCCCAGTGGGAGAGGGGGGAAGGCTCCACTGGACGTGCCAGGTGGCCGTGCTGCCAGGGCGGTTCCGGGGGGCCCTGGGCTTGGCTGCCCACCCTTTTCAGGGTGTCCTGCATATGCCAGCCAGCTTCCCTCCGCGTTTCCCGCGTCTGCTGCCCTGTCTGAAGCCCCCGGAAGCCTCCTCTCCCGGAGCTGACGTCTCCCCCAACCCCGCCTTGCCTCCCTGACCAGGCAACCGCATCGTGATGGGCAAGAACCACGTCTTCCGCTTCAACCACCCTGAGCAGGCCCGGCTGGAGCGGGAGCGCAGTGCCCCCCCCGAGAGCCAGGCAGAGCCGGTGGACTGGAACTTCGCTCAGCGGGAACTGCTGGAGAAGCAGGGCATCGACATCAAGCTGGAGATGGAGAAGAGGTGGGTTGGCGGGGCGGCGGCCGGGGCAGAAAGGCCGGGTGGCCTGCCCCATGCTCTGGGGGAGGCAGAGGTTGGCCCACCAGGGTTTTTCCAACCCCGGAGGCCCACAGGCCATTTTCTTTTCCGAGGCCCGGGGGTGGGGGGGAGCTCATCCGTCCGTCCGCAGCTCTGCTTTCGAAGTGGGGCCCTGGGGACAGAAGGCCTGCCCCATTTCCTAATTCAAACGTCCTGCTTGTGCCCCATTGGGTGGTCAGGCTTCAGGACCTGGAGACCCAGTACCGGCGAGAGAAGGAGGAAGCGGAGCTGCTGCTGGAACAGCAAAGGCTGGTACGTGACCGTGACTGTGACTGTTCTCACACTCTGGGGTGCGGCGCCGCGTTCTCCGTGCTCCGGGTGTGCAGCAGAGGGGTGCACCCTAGACACGTCAGCCCTGCTCGGCAGACCAAGCCAGCAGATCAACTCCAGAGGAGGCCTAGATTGCTTTGACTGATGTTGGCCATAAAAAAAAAGTCCTTCCGATCT